CGGTCCGGTCCAACCGGCCGGTTGCCGGAGCAGCCTTGCAAATAACCCAAAACTACAAGACAATATTGGGGCAGGCTGTGGGTACATACGTCTCTCCCCCTAGAGAGAGAGACAGGGCGAGAAACAGTAACGATCTCTGCTGGACATATGCCCCACGACCACCTCCTCTTCACTGTACTGGCAGCCATTCAGACCAAACTCCCACAGTCATCAACCAGAGAATCACATAGATGATAAGAGCTCATGGCCAATCTGCTTTGTGAAAACCCATGTTGCTGAGCTCGCAACTGCACCATCTAAATGTGGGAGCTACGGAGTCCGTAAGGGAAGGGGCGAGGGGGCCAGCAACCAAGTGGGCAACAAGGGCCAGTGAGCGACCGGGCAAGGGATTCAATGACTGAGGGGCCCAAGAGCCATGAGCAGGCAGCAGGCAGGCTAGGGATCCTCTGAGGCAGGCGAGGGATTAAGTGCGCAAGAGGGAAGCGATCACGCCGGGGTGCAAGTAGGTGAGAGGACCAAGGAACAAGTGAGCAGGGGAGAGTCTGTGAGCTACTGAGCGAAGGAGCCAGTCTGCAATGGAGGCGATGAGCAGCAAGGGAGCCACTAACTCAGCTTGTGAGAACACGAGAGAGCCAACCAGTAGACAATTCAGCGAGCGAGCAAGCTTGTGAGCAGGCAAGTGAGTGAGCAAGCAAATGACACCACCAGCGGGCCACCATGCATGTGAGACATCAAGAAAACAAGCGAGTACGCAATGGCGAATCCAGGACGAAGTAAGGAAGGGGAAAGCAAGGGCACAAGTTGGTGAGCAAGTCAGGGATTGATGGTGGAGAGCAGTATGGGAGCCCATGAGTAAACGAGTGCGCAAGAGGGCGACTGTACAAAAGAGAGGAGTAACAGAGAGACAGAGAGCACAAGCATATGGCAGAGTGACAGGGGACCGTGTGTGAGAGAGAGACGGACACAGGGGGTATACAACATAGGCCAGGCAGTGGAAGAAATCGAAATGTAGGAACAAAGAAGGGACTCAGAGAAATCAGAGACCCGGGGTGGCAAGAGACACTAGCTGGGAGGATTTGAACCACCACTGCCTCCCTCATGCAATGGCCAAACCTTGCAGATAGAAAAACCGCGGGCCTACTTGTAACTGGAGGTGGTAGATGGTAGTGCTGGTATTTGGGAGAGGATAAAGAGGAGAGAATGACAAGGGTTAATGCCGAGGAGAGAGCAGACACCATGCCTGACTTTGGCAAGATATACACGCAGTAAAAGAGGAGATATACATGCAGTAAAAAAAGGAGAGAAAATCAGTCCAAGGATCAGCAGGACAATAATGAAGAGGAAGAGGAAGAGAAAGGGGAAGAGGAGGAAGAGGACGAGGAAGAGGAAGAGGAAGACTAAGACAAAGAGGAGGAAGAGGAAGAGGAGGAAGAGGAGGAAGAGGAGGAAGAGGAGGAAGAGGAGGAAGAGGAAGAGCAAGAGGAAGAGAATGAGGGTGAGAAGCAGACATTGACGTGGTTTTAACTGTTAATTGCCTTGCGCCAAAGAAGAGGCCAACCAAATCACATAGCTGGGGGAATGGGGGATGGAAAAGGACGAGAAGAGAAAGAGGGCAAGGATCGAGGCCAAGGACAGAGAAAGCACCATGCCTAAGATATACACGCAGTAAAAGAGGAGATATACATGCACCGAAAAGGGGAGAAAAGCAAGCCAAGAATTAGGAGGACAGAGAGCAGGAGGATGAGGAGGAAAAGGAGGAAGGAGAGGAAGAGGAGGAAAAGGAGGAAGAGGAAGGGGAAGAGGGTGAGAAGAAGAGCAACAAATGCTCTTCACTGTTAATTGCCTTGTGCCAAAGAAGAGGGCAAACCAAGTCACGCATCTCTGGAACATGGGAGAAGGAAAAAAGGAGAAGAAGAGCAAGAGGGAGGAGGAAGTACAGCAATGATGAGTAAAGAGCGATGGTGCTAAATAGAGCGATGGTGCTAAATAGATTCTACTTACTTTGGTATCTCCATCAGGTTGAAGGAAGACCTGGATCATGCCGACATGGTCCTTCCTGTCATTCCCGGGCCATGGCGAGTTGTCATTCATTTTCCAACCATCTTCTGGTGGGTCCCTGGACTTGGCAACGAGTGCATTGATTCGCACCTTGAATTCATCGTAAGCCCTCTTCATGTGTCTTCTCTCCTTGATGAAGTCGCTTTGCGTTTTCCCCTTGGTGTAGTCGACCTTCTGCTGAAAGTACATTTCTGGAGCACGGGGCTCAATCTCGTGCTTCTTACAGAACGGAACCCAAGCACGTGCAAAGCTGGCCGTCTCTGTCAATGCCTCAAAGGTCAGCATTGCTGCTCCGTCATCCGACAAGTAGCAGGCAATCTTGTCCACAGGATAATCCATGGCCAAGACGGACAAAACAACATTGGCAGTGACGAGCGGGGGTTCTTTTTCTGGGTCCGCAGTGGTGATGAACACATCAACGGGAAGCAGTTTGCTAGGTTCCCCCGGCCTCTCGAACCGTAAACTTAGCCGATCCAGATATGTCTCTCTGGTCACGGGTGCCCATTTGGGTGCCTGATCAAGGATCCAGGACACACCAAACCAAATCTCACAGACGACGGAAAGCAGCCAGAGGACAAATGCACTGTTATTTGGATTCTGTACACGCCACTTGAGAAAGAGACAAAGCACAGCGAAACGGACAATAATCATAAAGCGATACGGATTGATAGAGTTGCCAGGGATGGGAATGACACGGACGAGAGGACGACGGGTGTCGTCCACAACGATGTTGTTCTTGGTGCCTCCACTCTTTTCAAGTCCTCCTCCTCCTCCTCCTCCTCCACCTCCTTCTGCTGCTGGTGCAGCTCTGCCATTCGCGGAGGCCTTTGCATCATTCTCCACCCAAGAAATGCTTCCATAACCATAGTCATCCATGTTCTTCGTTGGGTCCAGGATCTGGATTGACATCAGAGCAGCGGTCACGGGATCGAGTCCCTCCGCCGCCTTTGGAATGATGGGCACAACCGACAGATTCCTGGCCCTCGCCTCATCCATCAGCGACTTCGCATCTGCAGGTTCTTCTGGCTCTGGGGCCTCGAGCAACACTTTCATCGACGGTGACACCGTCAACCCGGGTCTGTTGTCCTTCGTCGGCACCGTGTTTCGCTTATCCGCCATCCCCAGCGGCTGCAAGGCGCCGTCGTCCATCCCAACATCACCAGCGGGCACGGCATCGAGTCCCTCCAAAGAGTCTGATTGCACTTGAGGGCTGCCCTTCACACGCTTGTAAGGTTCACGACACTGCGGACACAAACCCCCCTCGCTCTCTCGAATGTACTCATAGCACGGCCGGCAAACAGGAAACGCGCACTCGCAAGGCTCAAATGGGTCCCCCTTCTCGTCCCTCCCCACCTTTTCCCGGCAAATCTGACACTTGATATCCTTCTCCCCTCCGCCATAGCGACTCTCATCAGCGCCCAAAGACTCCGACAATTCCAGGGTGTTCTTCGTGTAACTCCCGAGAACGATCATATTCTCCATGCTCGGGCTTCGCATGTGGCTGCTGCCAGTTGAGTCAAATGACATTCCCACCGACCCAGATGACTGTCCACCGGGATGGTCCCGCGAGCTCCACGTGTGCACCTCCCCGCTGCTTGGGCCCTCCATGGACATGTCTGGGGATTCAAACGGTGCACCTCTTGCTGGTGAAGCGTCCACCGATAGCGATGGCTTTGGGGGCTTCCTCGCCGTTCGACTACGTGGCAACATCTTGTCGGCCCCTCTGTCTACCCCTCCTTTTTGTAACAATTACCGATTTCGCTAACGTGTACCGTCCGCTTCCTACTTCCCCTGACTTTCCCTTTCCTCTTACTTGTCAATCACCAACCTTACCTCTCTCTCTCTCTCTCTCTCTCTCTCTCTCTCTCTCTCTCTCTCTCTCTCTCTCTCTC